CATGGATTGAAGGGATAGAGAGACATGGATTGAAGAGGGAGAGTGACCTGGAAGGAAGAGGGAGAGAGACATTGATGATATGGGAGAGAGACATGGAAGGTAAGGGGAGAGAGACATGGAAGTTGGGTGCAGTCTGTTGCATTGAGTGCAATCTCTAGTACTGTGGGAAATTGCAATATGGTGCTGTGGAAAGGGTCATTAAGTGTGAAAAGGTGCAGAGAACACGATGTGAAGAGACGCAGAGAAGGTGGTGTGAACCAAGCCAAGGGAAAGCAGGTGGAAATGTGGAAATGTATGTGTGCATATAAGATGACCAGGGATGTGGTCAGCAAGGGCCGGCAAAATGTACCTTTGCCAAGTGTGGCTAAAAGTTTTGTACTGGTGTTAGTTTTTTTGTGTGAATGTGTCTGTAAATGAATGTGTATGTTTATATGTGTGACTAAGTTGATGTGCTTGTGTGTGCATGCATGGTGGAGCAGCAGTTGTGTCTTGGACCCAGGCAGCACAAAGTCTTGGGCCAGCCCTGGGTCACCATATTGATTTCTAGCAAAATCTTATATTCTGTTTGTTTTATATTGAGTTTTAAAATGATATTGCTAGCAGGCTCTATTGTAAAATTTTATAAACTTGGTTTACTACAACTAGCAAAAAAAAGCACCTTTTTGATGGCATTGGACTGTAATTTGCCTACATAAATATATTTATTTCATGTGTAGATCACAAGATAGACAAATAGACAAACACAAACACAAACCTCATTCACGTTGCTTAGAATGTTCTCTGCAGAATATCTAATGTAACATGAAAAACATCTGTCCGTAACCCAATTTCTCTAAACCAGTAGTTGTTTTAAACAGAATACAGTATTTCCTGTCTTGAAGTACCTCATCATTTTCAGTGTCAAATGACTTAGCTGGTCTGAAAACACTGCACCAGTTGTAAATCCTCTATCTTTCGCAAAGGCTATGTCATCCACTAGTTTTATTGGAGCTATTTCAGTGAAATGAGCTTTTCTAATGCCAAATTGGAAGAGTGTCGTGCTCCATAAACTTTGTCGTTTGTTCAAGCTATTTTTTTTTTCTTTTTACTAGATCAGCTATTACCAGTGGAGCTCAATTTAGATTAGTTAAATGGTTTTTTTTGTTGTTTTTTTTTTTACTAAGATCTGAACTATTTTGAGATCTAGAATGTTAATTTAATTGCTGAACAGGTTACTTTAGGACTAATTCATGTAAATCGTAAGGAAAAAATTTTTTTTAGCAAAATTTCATTTTAGTTTCCTCTATGCATATATATATATATATAATCCCCCAAAGTCTAGAAGAAGCAGTGTTTCTGCAAAAAAAAATCAAAAATGTTTTGGATGCATGAGCTGCAGTGAGATACAATGACTCTGACCAAGGCACATTGGCAAGGATGCTGAAAATAAGAAACAGATAAACGTATCCTCACAATCAATTTATTTATATTTCATGGTATGCACATATGGAGCCCAGAAGAGGGAAAAGAAAGTGGAGTGCTCCGGATATACAAGGAATAGTTTCATGTTCTCAGTAAATAAAGCAGGATTTACATGTAATAAATAGTAGTTTCATAAAACAGTTATTTTAATTCATTATTATTATTAGAATTTATATAGTGCCAACATATTCCAAAGTGCTTTACAATAATACATTGTATGTATAAAACATGTACTGACATACAAAGAAATATCGACAGAGACAAGGAGTAAAAAGGGCCTTGCTTAAACGAGATTTCAATCTTAGAATCAAATATAAAACCTGGTCAATTAAAGACACAAGTCAACTCTATAAATATCCCAGATAAATGTGTGACCAAACAGTGGAAAGAGCTTAGAAATACAAACAGTATACCATTATGTCCCGTCGAGGCCCCTACGCTCTGCCAAAGACCTACGTCTATCCTCTGTTTGTACTCCCACCTCTGATGCTTGCACTGTTCCTGTGGAACTCCTTTCCCTTTTCCGTTAGATGCTCACCCAGTCTCCACTCCTTCATAAGATCATTAAAAACTCACTTTTTCATAAAAGCATATCAAGTAAACTGTCAATGGCTCCCAACTGATTAATCTCTTGCAACTGTCATTAAACCCCCACCCCCCCACAAAAATTCTATTCTATTCTACCAATCTACTTCCCTATACTTCGCTTCCCTTTTGTGTCACTTTACTCCACTCCCTCTAGCATGTGAGCAGGGCCCTCAGCCCCTCTGTTCCTGTGCGTCAAACATGTCTGGTTACACTTACATGTTTGTTAGTAATAATAATAATATCTAAGCGACACAAGTCAACTCTATAGGTATACCAGACAAATGTGTGACCAAACAGTGGAAAGCGCTTAGATATACAAGCAGTATATATATGTCTATTATCTCCCCCAGTGAGAGACCTTAAGCCAAGCCACTGTGCTGCTGGAGCTCTGTGCAAAGTGTAGGATATGTCCTTCTCAAGTGGAGTCATGTTAATATAAACACATAATAGCGCAGACAATCTGATCTTGAAAATATATAAATATATGAATCTTGAGAGAGACCTAAACGGGTCAAAATGTCGATTTGGACCTATGTAACATTTGTTGGTGATTAAACACAGTTTGTTGAGAAGACATCTGAAAGTACCCAATCTTTACTAATTGTATATATATATATATATATATATATATATATATATATATATATTTAAAATCATACTTTCTTCTTACTTCAAATGACATTGCTAATGATGCTTTCAGGAGAAAGCAGACATGTTTTTACAGAACCAATAAAGAAAAATGAATTTTTTACCACTTTGAGTCAATAACAAGGGGGATGGTAAAATAAGTAGAAGAAGATATTAAATACATGTTCAAATGAATATCAAGAAACAAATGGTAACTAATGGGGGAGTTTGAGATACTGGCATACAAAGAGCAGTATGACTTAATTGGGATTACTGAGACTTGGTGGGATAAAACACTCGATTAAGCTATTAATTTAAATGAATATATATTATTTAGGAAGGACAGAAAAAAATAGGAAAGTGGGTGGGATATGTCTTTAAATTAAACCTGATTTGAAGCAAAGTGTGAAATTGTGTGTGTGAGTTGTGATAATACAGGTGAATATTAGTGATGTCGCGAACCGTTTGCGAACTTCCCGCGAACGGCTCGCCACGGTTCGCCACGAACCGTTCGCGGCGAACTCCGGTCAGCTGACACTTCCTGACCAATCTCCAGCAGACCCTCCCTCCCAGACCCTCCCACCTCCTGGATAGCATCCATGTTGAAGGGAAGTTCGCGAACGGTTCGCGACATTACTAGTTAATATGTTAAAACCTTATGTGTAGAAATATGAGGAAACAGGGGATATCTATTAATAGAAAAAGCAGTATATATACAATGCCTCTACTTTCACTAAAATATAGTAAGAAAGAGGATTAATATCCAAAAATACTTATCTAAATCAATCAGAACAGCCTCTCGAGATCGTGGCCCAGTTCCCGACCCTTTACAATATATATTTGAATACGGAAAAACAGAGATACGGCTGTATACAATCTAAAACCGGAACAAAAAAAGATACATAGTGTAATACAGTAAAACCAATATAAATGTGTTGAGATTGTTGTGCACTCACAAAATTGAGGTGAATAATGCCCTCAAATGGTGCCTGCCCCGATGAATTTGGGCGGCTAGGGGTATCCACTTCCCAAGGGAAATCCACAGGTAATCCAAATGGACCAAAGGACAAGACTCCAGTGGAAATAGATGAAATATGCTAAATTTATTTAATAAAAAGGGCTACATATATTAGCCACATCAAATAAATAAAAAAGAGGTCCTAAGCGTTTTGGTTCCTATAATTAGGAACTTCATCAGGGACCAAAATATAACAAAACAATGGTAAAAACAATCAATACAGAAAATGCATACAATATTCCCCCCCTCCTGAGTCTCTATAAATAGGGCTATACCCTCAGTTCATTGGTGGATTCTGTGGGAGTTTCTGGCAATCCTGTGGTCCTATTCAGGTGTGGAGAGTCCTGTTGATCACCTCAGGTGTGGAATAGATGTTCCCCTGTCTCCTTTGGGCGCGAACAGATGGAAACCGGAAGTGACCTCCGTTCTGCACTTCCGCGTTCCACATGCGTTCCAATTCAGTCAAAAAAAGCAAAAAAGCATATTGCCACCTAGAGGTCGCCCAATGTATAGCTGCTTGATTGCAAATATAAAAAGAAAAAACACACTCACTGGCAGAAGGTCCTAGCAGAAAGAAGGAGGGTTAATAATCACCATACATGTGCCTTAGTGTTTAATTGGAGAGAGAATATATATAGTTATAGGATTTGTTTATAAAGATTTATATTCTATGAGTGTCAATTCAATTTTTCCATAATCCTTAACTGTTCAAATAAAATGTATAAATCAAAAGGGAGATATCTTTAATCTTAAATTTCACATTCCTATAATTTAAAAAAATATGTGTATATATGAATATTCATCATTTAAACTTATCAAATAAAGTTATGTGTTTTTTTTATTTTATTTTTTTTATTTCTTAATACCCTCTTTCTGCATGTTCCCCCATCAGGGTGTATTCTAATCCTACTACATCAATTAGTGAGTATAATTGTTTTAATCTAATAATAATTGTTCCTAATGCAAATAAATTATAAAATATCTAACTACCTCAGTACAGATCTCTAATTCTCATTAGATAATTGTTAATGACACCAATGTAAATGTTACAAAACCCCACATTGGGGAAAATAGATCTATATCGATATTAAGTCCCTTGGGATGTAAGGTCTGTAATTTATGTATCCAGAACGTCTCCCGTTGGGCTAGTTTTTTTGTTCTATTACCTCCCCTCCAATGGGGCAAAACTGTCTCTATTCCTACGCATTTAAACTTAGAGAAAGAGAACATAGGGCATGTGATACAGTGAGTGGGTACAGAATGGGTAGTGAGCCTCTTTCTTATATTATTAAGATGTTCCATGAGGCGTACCTTCAAAAGCCTTTTGGTCCGACCTACATATTGTTTGCCACACGGACACTGTGGCAAACAATATGTAGGTCGGACCAAAAGGCTTTTGAAGGTACGCCTCATGGAACATCTTAATAATATAAGAAAGAGGCCCTTTTTATTAAATAAATTTAGCATATTTCATCTATTTCCACTGGAGTCTCGTCCTTTGGTCCATTTGGATTACCTGTGGATTTCCCTTGGGAAGTGGATACCCCTAGCCGCCCAAATTTATCGGGGCAGGCACCATTTGAGCGCATTATTCACCTAAATTTTGTGAGTGCACTACAATCTCAACACATTTATATTGGTTTTACTGTATTACACTATGTGTTTTTTTTTGTTCCTGTTTTAGATTGTATACAGCCGTATCTCTGTTTTTCCTGTATTCAAGTGGATATCTATTAATAGTAGGAATATGTTAAAAACCTCCTAACATTAATCCTGATGGGGAAGAGCAACTCCTATCTCAATGTAATAAGGCTGCACACCTGGGTAATTTGTTAATCATTGGAGATTTTAATTATCCAGACATTGATTGGGCCAGAGGGACTAGTAGAACAATTAAGGGAAACAGATTTTTAAACTTGATAAACAACACTTTCATTTCTCAATTAGTAGAAACACCAACCAGAATAGATGCTTATCTGGATCTTGTCATAACTAATAATGTTGACCTACTTTCAAACATTCAAGTTAAGGAGCACTTTAGGAATAGTGCTCATAATATGGTATCATTTGTGATAATCTAAAAAAAATAAAAAAACATACAAATTTCTATGGACTGTACAAAAACACTTAATTTTACAAATAATTATTTAGTAGGATAAGGGCATCTTTACAACAAAATTAATGTCAGCAACTGTTCACTGGCAAATGCACAGAGGATAAATGGAAGGTCTTTAACCCCTTAAGGACCGCGGACATATGAGGTACGACCGACAAAAACCTAATTCGTCTGCGGTAAATTTGAGTGCTGGAAGCGATCGTGTTCACTTCCAGCCACTCTAAGGGTATTACACGATGCCTCGATATTGAGGCATCGTGGAATAGCCCCACACACTGCTGGGCATCCGAGTGATCGCTCCCCTGATCACCCACGATCACTTCTGGGTTGCCGCACATGGCGGCCAGCAGTGTAGGCAAGATCATCAGAAGCCTTCAGACAGGCTTCCGATGCTCTGCCTGTACTGAGGGCCTCGAGGGGTCGAGGTACTCAGTTAAAAAATTTTTTTATTTTTTTTAAAAAAATAAAAAAAATAAAAAAATGAACCCTTACCCTCCCTCCCTCTGCCTCCCTCCTCATGTACTTACTGATCGCTGCCGTTCCCCATCCGGCGATCAGTCTTCTTCTTAGGGGGAATGTCTAGGCTCAGCCCAGACAGTCCCCCTCTGCAAATTAAAAGAGCGGTCACATGGGCACAATAGGTTTACACAGTGCTGCCAGCAGGGGGACTGCCTGAACTGACAGGCAGTCCCCTTGCTGGTGAAAAAGTAAAGAAAATAAAAAATAAAGTTAATAAATTAACAAATATATATATTGTAACGGACCGTTTCAGCACACAAGGGGTAAAAACCGTTTAGGCGATCGTCCCCCTTTCCAGAGATGCAGGCACAGCTACTGTAGAACACCAAACTCACGAACCGCCAATAAGGGAATGCTCCAAACTCCCTAACGGCATACAATATAGCACTCCAAACACACGAACTGGAACCGTACGAATCGCAGCTAGCAGACGAATAGGAAAAGCACCCAAGCGGCTTACACTCCTAGCAATCAGTCTCTATCAGCATTCAGTAAATCCCCCCAAAGACGAGACAAGGCTCCGTGTTAACGGGCAAGCAGTGGTCTGGTTTAATGAGGGATACCTGCCCAGTATTTATGCAGGGCTCCCACCTGGTGGACACTCCCCTAGGGGACCAAATGGGAGACTGTGACAAAAGACAGACAAGTAGACAAATAGGACACACAGTCACATTGTATTCCCACAATGCATCCTGGCTTCCTCCCCTCTGCCTTGGAGATAATTGAGAAGTAATTCAATTATCTCCCAAGACAAAGGCAAATCACCATTATGCACGTGGGGATACTAAAACATGAATTACTATTAACATACACAGTGTGACGCAACTTACAATAAAACTATACATTTAACATATCCCCAGATAGCTCAGGTCTGAGCGCACTTTATTAAGCGAATGGCGCTCAGACCACACGAATACAGTGTAATCGCCATGGAGTCAAAGTCTTTACACAGTCAGTTCTCATGCGAATGGGCTCCATGGGATTCCTATCTGGGGTATAACATATTCAAGTAAAACTACCGAACACCGGGCCGTTCGTGCACTTTCACCAAACAAGAAGGGAGGTCAGCGGCTTCGGCGGTGTTAGCGCAAAACTGTGTCCGATTTTAGTTCCATGAATTGAGGGTCGAAAACCGCTGTGCGTTCGCGGGTTTAAAATGGCAGTGACCTCGTGTTCGTGATACGAATGGCGGCCACCCAGCATTCGTCAATTAAGCTGCGGTTAACCGCATCTTCAGGGAGGCTAATTGCCAGCACACTCCAGCTCCCAGGTGGTCTAGTCATTCGTGCGGTTGTTCGGTAGATTGAATCTACCGAACACCAGGCAGAAAAAAGCACGAATAAGTCTTTTTTTGCAGGGAAAAAGATGTCTTTTAATATGGGGCCATAGTCCAAAGGCAGCAGGCGAGCAACCAGGCTTCTCCAATGCAATGTGGCGAGATTGCTCTCGTCATATATATGTATATATATATATATATATATATATATATACATATATGTGTGTGTGTGTCTTATATGTAACATCATACTAAGTGTATTTTGTATTAATATATACATATATTAATATAAAAAAATGCAGAGTAAAATTACATACGTATATATATATATATACATATAATATATATAATAACTATATATTGTATATATATATATATATATATATATTATAAAAAATAAATCAATAATTAAAAATAAACTGTAAAAATAATTTTAAAAAGTTATATATATGTTAAGGCGAAGCCTGTAGTTGTGGGAGGGGTTTTACCGGCCTATTTATACCCAGACTTACCTCCACTCAGGGCTGACACCGATCCAGACTACTTCGCAATCACTTCTGGTTCTGGTCCACTTCGGTTCCGGTCTACCTCAACATTGCTCCCACCGGGAAATGAAGTTCCACACAGACCTAATCCTGGGAGACTACCACCCTTCACCCACAGCCTTGGGCAACCTTCAGACTTAAGGAGGGCACACTTTCCCACAGGCGATCCCGACAGCCAACCGCAATCAAACTTCCGCATTCCACCCCCGCCGCCGCTTTACGGCGTTACGTTGGTGCCGTGAGTTCCAACGGTAACGTGAGTACCCTTAGTTCAGCCCAAGTTAGCCCGATAGCTAAGCAGACCAGACACCGGCCAAGAACGGCGGTTGCCTGCTCAAACAGTGAGTCCACAGACGGTGTGCAATGGTACACCGTCTGTAGCATACCGGCGATTTAACCCGACCACCTGACTACCGTGGTCCCCGGCGGCGGGTTAACCAATTGCCGCACAAAAATCCCTGCCCCCTCCCCCAGAGGGGATCCTCACCAACAAGCATCAGCCAACACACCAATTACTCACGGGGAAGGAGTTTCATGGGGCACGCCCCCTCCATAGTCAACGCCAGTCCTAAATTAACACGTGCATTCTTTCGAGATCACCGGTTAGTACACTAGGTGATTGTGGAGAAACTCAACTGGTTACTCTGCAATCTCTCGACTCCCATAAAATCTCACCTAATAATTGATCATCCCGTATTCACGCTTACACTATCCACACGACACCCAGATGGTAGCCTATTAAGACATACTTCAGCCCCTCCTTAGCGCATCAAGTTCAAATACTATTATGCTTACTTGAGTGGGTGTATGCAGCTAGAGCCACACATCTGTACAGTCAACACTGAACCCGCACTCTATCTTATAATACATCCAATAAGTCACGTACTACCAATACGCGGCCACCTTACCATCAAAGTATTACTATGGGCTTGCTCTTGTACTGTTTACTTAAGTCACAGCCCTCCCTAGGCCTTCACGACTTACTCTTTATATGGCCTTTAGGGCGCTTACCGCTACATCCTACTCTCTTCCCCTCCAATTAGGCATGGCAGATGGAAGCCATACGGCTTCCCAGGATTGTATATGGCTCTAGCATACCATGTTCAGGATATACCATCCAGTCACACGCCCACTCCTGCTCTGCGGACTGCACCCGGGGCATTACAGAGGGAACAAATCCTCTGCTTACGTACGTCTGTCCATCCCCCCTCCCTATTATGCCACTTCAGCTGTCACATTGATATATGTTATTGGGCAACCAGGTCACCTTTTGTTCCATGTACCAATTTGTTGCGTGTCATTTCAATTAATGAAGTAGCCTGGCCTCAGCTTATAGACTGCCGGCATTACAGCATACAATTCTATTTTGTCCACCCCCCTCTACCCCTGAGAGTCCAACACATATACCATGGATCTTATACTTTCCACCCACTATTCCCAGGCCATTTGACGGCTCCCAAAATCTCGGATGCTTAACTGACCGTAGCCACGAACAAAGATACATCAATTATGGCATGTTACACAGCTTGTCAGTTCCCATGTCAGTTCCAGCCATGATAATCAATTACCACTCTACTATACTGCAGTCAACCATTACTCACAGCCTCCTTCCATATGTTCCAAATGACCTTTGCAGGCTATCCAATACACCCACATTATAAATCCTCGAATCGGCAATTACACATGGCATAATCTGTACATTCTGGCACTTAGCCTTCAGTAATACCACCATGCGCAGCCTTGTTAGGCCATCACTACATACGTTACATACGGCCCTCCGTGGGCAATCGTTACGACACTATAATGGCCCCTCACTTGGGCATTTACATACGACAGTGGCATCATTGGGCCCACTCAAGCCCTCGTACGACCCTCTCCATTATACTATTAAGTGTATAGTCGCAGGTAATTCTTGCATATCTGATTTTGCTTCCCGACATTAAAGTTAAGAC